TAAAATTGATCGTCTACACTCAACTAGCTTACAACCTATTAAACTCCCATCTCATGAGTGGAATTGACAAAGGATCCTGGACCGATCATTAAGACCTAAAACATATGATCCAATATTAAACATTCCAAAGGACACTAGAATATGTTTAAGATTTTAAAAGCATAGCTAGTGGTGACCACGAACGTGAACGAGGAGCATTGGGCAGACAGACATTCCGTCCAAGAAGCCACTAACTCCATCCATTTGCAAAATTTATGTCAACTACCTTATTATTTTCTCTCTCTTTCTATAACTGTTATATTACATCATCTCATAGACATATATATATATATATCCACACACTATAGTTTATTCACCTTTTCCTCATATTCTGCGAATGGAGATTGGAGTGCATGCACGTTTCATGCAAGCCGTTTTGCATCACAATAAAAGCATCCTCATTCCTCACTAATTATATATATGAGAAAGTATATGAGAAAGTATGAGTGACTTCTTTTGGGTCTAAATAATTTCTTAAAGAGTATATGAGTGTAAAATAAGAAAAAAGAAGAAGAAGGTAGATATATACCGATTTATATTGATTTTAAATGGTTCTAGAAAGAATTTTTATTTTTTTGATAAAAAGGGACAAATTAGAAATGCAAGCATTAGGGTTTTTTTTTTTTTTTTGGATCAAGCAGTACTCACACAATTTTGTACAAGTGTTAGGTTGAAGGACATAACACAGTCTTCTCATGAAATAAAAAAATGTATCTCTTTTTTTTTTTTTTTAAATAATTAATTCTTATATTATATTAAATATAAATGAAATGTCAAACTCCAAAAAAAGAAAAAAAATTTATCTTCAAAGTACTCGTTGTCAGTTTAATATTGCTAAGGAAGTTGAGTTGGATTCTTTTTCCCCTACTAAATAATAAATAGTAAAACATTGCCAACCGAGCAACAAAGAAATTTTAGCAATTCTTTTGATATGCTAAAATATAGGAAAGAAAAAGTGGTACCGAACGGTCTCTACGAAATGTGTGGACACTCCTTCAAACGATATGTTAAAAACCATATGTTAATATAGACAGCATAATTAAATACTTACGTAACAACCAAAAATTTAAAAAAATTTAATGGGTGGAGTGATTACCTAATCTAAAATTTTTAATTGTTAGGACAATTAGGGAGCGTATTCTATTCAGATTAGATATGGGACAATTTGTTCTATCCCTTATATAGTTGTTCTCTACTTTACATTATTTCCATACTCATAAATTTTAAAATATGTATACATTAAAAGATGTTCATTTATATATATATCAAAAAATTTCCCTCAAACTATGTGAAATTTCACAACTCCCATGTCGCCGGTCATTGTCTCTCTCTCAGCAAGGATGGAGCCATAATAAGTTGTCCTCACTCAATTTCTTTTTATTTTACGTAGGTTGAATACGGTTCTCAAAAATTGTTGCACCCTCAAACTTTCAAAATTTCTTCTAATCTATGAAAATATTACTAACTTAGTGACTGAATACATGATTTACATCACACGTGGTACTTTTTCATTTCAATTGTTTTGCCTTTTTTTAAAGAGGACGTGTTTATCCTTTGAATGCACAATTTTATTTTTTATTTTTTAAAAACAAAAATTACACGTTACAAGATAATTATTCATTTTTCAAGTGGATTATATTGTAAGAATATTAAACTCTCTAGTGGTTAAATAAAAAATGTTAGGTAGTATTTACTAGTATAATGTGATGTATAAAATAAAATTGCTGGTCAATTTTATTATGTTATCCATGATGATGATAAATTTTTCTTAATCTATTATCTGATTATTTTCTTTGAACTTTCCGTAAATTAAAAATCCAATTCCATCACAGTTTTATAATCCTTTAAAATTTAAATTCATAACCCAATTCTAATGTTAATTTAAAAAATAACAAATTTTACTGTCATTTCTCACCAAAATTAGTGAGGTAGAAGATTTATTGCTTGCTGTTCTAAAAAATGTCGTCGCTTGAACTAAATTTGTGACTCTTATCACTACTCAAAAATGTGTTGTTACTCACCAATATTAGCCATATATATATATATGTATATATATATATGTATGCGCGCGCGCGCGCGCACATGTGAATGGACCCATTCTGTACTGAGAGGATTCATCCTCGTCCATAGACATGGGAACATAAATTACATAACTGATAAGCTTTAGAAGATCGATCGGGCATAGACTGACGCTGTAAGTAAAACTCGTGGCGGTAACTACAAAGCAGCATACACGTGCCGTCACGTGGAGCAATCATTTGTTACATGCGCTTGTAATAATTAGTACAAGCAATCCCCATGCTCCGATGCACGTGTCCTCCTCGCTGTGGATTCGTACATCCATATGATGGGACTTGGTCTGCTATTCTATTGCAGAAAGTAGAAACCGACTTGCAAGTCCGTGGATCAATAGGCCTCGTAAATATGACTATATCTATTTTGGACAGATGGAATATTACAAAGATATTTAGTGCTATCTCCATCCCATCGACATTTAAAGTGAGAACGCGGGAGTTACATATAATATAATATTGTATTGCAAAACTTATTCGGAGTAAATGATTTTAATTTACAAGGAATTTAATTTTTTTTTTCTTTGCAAGGAAATCATCTAATTATACATTTTACCAAGTATATTTTTATTATTTGATAATTTAATTCAATACTATTTAAGCACTTGTTCAATTAAGTATTTGATAATCTAATTAGTAGTGATATTTAGGTTAAAAAGTAATAAGATAGTATTTTTTGATCCAACACATTTGATTGATTGTTAATGTAAGAGATACAAAAATGAAGGGTCTCATTCTTTTATATTTAACCTGATTGAAGAAATTGACAAAGATGATAATGATAAGTCAAAATATAAAAGGAGAGTCTCACAGATTAACCCGTTCATTTACAGATATAAATATTTTTAAAAGCATAAAAATTTCTCAAAGTTTGAAGTGTGCATATATAGAAACATTTGTTCATTTTTTTAAACTACCATTGTTATTTATATGTATCACTTCTGTGCATATTGGTCGCAAGAAAGATGCCCTGTGCACAAAAGTGGTACTGAAATTATTAAAAGACTAATACATAAAAATAACATAGCAACTAATATCGCAGTATGATTCGAGATACACATTACGTAAATTACTTGATGATTTATTTCACATATCAAAAGCACTAGATGGTAGTTGGATGCTTCGGAATGGTTTTGGTCATTCATTTTCTTTTAAAATTAAAATTAGTCTTTGCATGAGTTTTCTCCTAATTGAGGTAAATGTGATTGTTGGATTTGTAATTTTAAATTCCAAAAAAAAAAAAAAATTTGATTTGTAATTTTAATTATGACCATTCTCATTGAAAGTTTGGGTGAATTGACTGTGTCTCTACCTTTCAGAGCTTGAAGTGGGACTCATGAAGGAGTCGGTTCCTCTTTTAACCAAACTCTTCGGCATTAATATTATTGCCCGTGTTAATTAGTTAGTTTATTTATTTTGATCTAGAAAAGAAATAATTTAGCATAGGATTGTTTTTTTTTACGAATTAAATAAAAACTAAGGTGCAAGTTGTGCAGCATAGGCTAAGTGTATCTTAAAGTTTTCACCTAATCTATAATGAGAAATAATATAAATGGCTTCAAGTGCTTCTTTTATTTTTCTTAAATGTTGTTTATAATTGTCATTATTAGATTAAAGACAAGAATGTATGTTTGTTGGAATTCCTTCCTATACACCATACATCTGTTCTGTTCATTTGAGATATTTTAATTTTTTTCATAAATAACCCCTAAAATATTTTTTGCACATAAAATTTCCTGAGCTATCACATTTAGTTGCAAAATACCCTCATTGCCTTGATTATTTTTCATTAAATAACAATTGTACCACTTCTTATTGAATTACACTTATATATTTTTCTTGTCAAAATAAATTTTGAAAAAAAAGTTCATACTAATTTGATAATATATTCTCAATTAAATTTGCATAATTTTGCCTTAATTTTGAAGTTAATTATTTAAATAAAAATTTTAATTGAAAATTTGGAAATAATTTAAGCAATTTCTTAATTTTGAATGAATATATTGCATAAAAAGGAATTTTTTATTTACGTAATTTATTAATAATGCATAAATATATACGTAATTTATTAATTTTGCATAAATATTGTATGAAAAAGAAGGTATTTTTTTACCCTAATTTTTAAAGTGAGTATAATAAGTTAATCATTTTAAAAAATGGTAGTTACTAATCTATTTATTATTTCTTATTTTTATTAAAAATTGATAATAATTATAAAATTAAGGTAAATAGTATAATTAATTTTTGAACAGGAGAAAATATAATAAAAAATAATTTAATAAGAAATGACAATTTTAATAGGGAAGGGTAAAATAATTTTTTATGAGTCTTTAATTGCAACAAATTAATAATTTAGGAGGACATTCTTTAATTCAAAGAAATTATTTAAAAAAGGGTAATAATTCAGGGAGATTTTTTAGCATTTTACTTAATTTTTTTATAAAAAATATTCTAAACGCAAAGAAACATGTCGTATTATTCCACTTAAGACTATTCGAATCCGCGTTTATCAGCCATTCTTCTAGTACCATAATTTAGAGTGGAATTCAAGACACAGTCAGCAGCTCCCATAAAATTCATGAATGGAGACCGGCATCCAACAACAATCACCCAGCCAACTAACCTCGGGAGTCACGCGTCCGAGTTGCTTACGTCACAAATATTTATCTTTTACAAGTTCATCCCACGCGTCCATAAGGTTCGTGTAATTCACGAACCAATCAAATTGAACATGAAGGAAAAAAACAAACATCCCCTGGAACGAATGTGAGAGTGGGTGTAATAACTCCACGTCTGTATTCGTCTTTAGCTTGTTCATAGGGCCTGGGTGGGGAGTCATTCAAGCAATAATTTCCGCATTCGGCGAAACTCCCACTCCCACTTCCATTTTTATTTATATACGTGTTATATATATATATATATATATACACTTGTATAATACTCCATTCATATGGAGTATTTATATATATAGCTGTATATATATAACTTTCCCATTTCCTAAAGGAGGTTTTTGGATTGCTATTCACCACCCATTCAGACCACTGGAGGGTCCATTTCATCTTTTTGATTGTTTGATGATCCAGTGAAGCTTTTCTAGAGAGAGATAGAGGTAGAAACACAGAGAGAGAGAGAGAGAGAGAGAGAGGAGGAGTCGGGGTGGGAGGCAGCTGGTGGAAAGGGTCTCCGCCCTTGTTCTTTGACTTGAATTCCTTCGCATTCCCTTCCTTTCTCTTCCCTTCTATTTTCTTCTTCTATCGAATTCTGATCCTCTCATCTCTCTCTTTTGCCAGTCAATTCACATGGTCTCTTATGGCAACATTTTGATGTTCTTGTTGTAATCTCATTTTCAAAAAATTTATGATCTCCTTTAAACGGACTTATTGAACATCACCGTTGCTATGTGGTTGTTTGATTATTTATTATCAGCAGTTCGAAATTAAAGCTTTACTTTCTCCATTAATGGTTCATTTCTGTGCCTCTTTTTGCTGAGAACATTCGATCTGAGCGATTCTTATCATTATTCTAATCCTCTTCTCTAAATCTCTGCAAAACAGGACTCAATTAACCTGATTCCCTTTTTTAATTCCTCGATTTCGCATATTTAATCTCGGAATCTCTACCTAAACTCTTACCCATCCACCTCATTAGTTTGGAAATGTTCTTTTAATCATATATACACCTAATTAATTATATATCTAGTATATACATATCTGTCTCATTTCTTTGGATACGCATATTTGTATAAAGTCTCATTTCTTTGGATACGCATATTTGTATAAAGTCTTGGCCTTTTTTTTCCTGATTCAATCTTGTTGGTTACAAAATGGGTTGCGCAAGTTCGAAACAAAAGGTATGCCGGAACTGTCAGACGCCATACTCGCCGGTGCCGCGAAGCTATTCGATGCACGTCCACCACCCTCCTCAGCAAAAAGGGGATAGCTACCATGTCGTGGCTCTCACCTCCAGCTCACTGGGAACGATCAAGCTCGATTCGTTGGACCAAATTCACCCTCTCAATGAAAGCAATGCTCCAGTTGAAATTAAAGATGAGCCAAATGAAGGTGAAGACAGTGTTTCCAATAAGAGAAGCAAAGAGTTTTCAGTGGGTTTGATTGAGGCCAAGACTTGGTCTACCATGATCAATGAAAAAATTCCTAAAATTGTTCCGAGAACTCCAATTAGAACACCTCCAGGTGAGCCTGAGACGATCAATGCCTGGGAATTGATGGAGGGCCTTGAAGACACTAGCCCTCTTCGTCCTCCAAATCACATTCGGAGCTTCTCTTTCCATGTCGCTCCGAATTCGATTCCATCCCCACTCGGTAGTCCCAAATCGAAGCTGCGAGCAAATGATGATTTGTCCTCTAAACCATTGTGGCTTGAGATGGCTGACAAAGAATCACTTTCCAATTCGAATTCGAATGCAACATCTATAATCTCCGAGTTTGATCCAGATGTCATTTCCACATTCAGGAAAGCGTTGGAAGATCTCCCTCCTGCCAACCCTTTTCACCTCAAACCATTAGGCAACGAAACAGAGCAGGCCGTGGCCGGCTACAATCAGCCACTGGAAGTCATGGCCGATAAGAGTACTATAGATGGTGGTGCGGAAGAGTATAAATGCTCATCATTTGGAAAAGACAAGGTGGTGCTATACTTCACAAGCCTAAGAGGAGTGAGGAAGACATATGAGGATTGTTGCCATGTTAGAGTGATTCTAAATGGATTGGGTATTCGAGTTGATGAGAGAGATTTATCGATGCATTCCGGGTTCAAGGAGGAGCTGAAAGAGCTATTGGGAGAAGGGTTTAATAATAATGGTGGTGGTTTGCCAAGGGTGTTTGTGGGGAAGAGGTACATTGGTGGGGCGGAAGAGATACGGCGAATGCACGAGGATGGAAAGCTCGAGAAGGCACTCGAAGGTTGTGAAATGGTGGATGATGGCGGTGGAGGTGATGGTGGTTGTGGTGGAGGTGGTGGTGGCGGAATTTGTGAGGCATGTGGGGATATAAGGTTTGTGCCTTGTGAGACATGTTCAGGGAGTTGTAAAATCTACTATGAAGGTGATTATGATGAAGAATGCGATGAAAATGATTGTGGATTCCAACGGTGTCCAGATTGCAATGAAAATGGGATCATACGCTGTCCAATTTGTTGCGATTAATTGCAAAAGGTACTATTAGTAAGAATTTTTGCCATTTTTTATTTTTTTTTTTCTTTCTGTTTTTGGTTTCTGTCTGAGTTGTTTGTTGTACAGTGAGGAGTTTCAATATGTTTGTTGAATGGGAGGTTTATGAGATAACTGTAAGAGAAAGACTAATACTTTCGCAACCGAACTGTAATACTTTCATCACGTATGTATCAAAAAAAGAGGCTTGTGTACCTTTCTTTACCTTTTCTAGGAAATTAGATAAATTGCTTGTGGTGTTCAAAATTGGCATCTAATTACTACTTTTTCTTGAAATTCATATACCAGCTCATGAATTATAGAAACATTGAAGTTGTAGAGTTTGTTAAGACTGCACGTGTGCTAATTAATTAGTCTGCAAAGTCTAATTGATGTTGTTTCTCATTAGAGACAAAGGCTATTTTAGCTTAGTTATTAATAGTAGTTATTATCATGGATACTATTGTCACAGCTGATAGTCTAAGGGAAAGTCCTAACCTAGGGAATTTTATCCCTCCACAGCAAAACAGTTTATGAATGTCCATGTCTACGCGGTGAACTATTTGTATCTCATAAAATAAGTAAGATAAAGAAAGAAATATCAACTGAATCATTTGTAATGTAAATATTACAGGGATGGATGTAGCCAAGTGGATCAGTTCATTATCTGTTCTTTCATGGTAAGAGGGGCTTATTGGGATTGTTTGAGCAATTGACCTCTTGCTAATTGATTCTGAGTAGCTTTATTAAGATCAGAAGCGAAATGTGCAAAGGCTTCTAATATTCATCCGAGGAATAGAATTCCCGAGGTTAGGATTTCGGTTAGACTATTAGGTTTGAGTAGGATTGTCCTATTATCATTGAACAAAAGAGACGCTGAGGGTTGGTGGGTACAAGCATATTCTCACTAGGTTGCACACAAAAAAGCCTCTAGAGTCATATGTGTTCTTCAAGTCGATGCTATAATTAAGCACTTGTGTCCTTAAGTCAACCAAGCTTGTTTCCACTTTGACAAAGAAAGTTGTGAGAGCTTTTAGTATGTGAACTCATTTCCTTGACAATGTCTTCTGTGCTGCGTAAGTTACTTTAGAAGGCAACTAGAACATTCACGTATCTTTCTGCATAAAAGTTGTCTACACATTTTGCCTGAGCAGGTATGGACCCTGAATTTTATATGATCCACTCATGTTTTATCATTGTTAGAAGCACAATTGGACGGTTAAAAAAACAAGCCTGGATTGTGACACTACTCTGTAGATAAAACAAGAGAGAGAACAAATTTGTGGTATAAATATCTACTCTGTTTGACAAGAAGGCTTTCTGTTCTTTATCTTATAGGTGAGTAGTTAAACTCAATTATCCTCAAGACGGCATGATGCCGACTCATTTCTAGTCGATAATTTAACATGTTTTCTAGAACATATAAATACGTGCTCTATAATTCATCTTATATTAAATTATATATATATATATATATATATATATATATATATATTAGCAAATTAGGTGTTGAAATGTTCCAGTCAAGGCAGGTTATATTAAGGCGGTCAATACCGTTTCTCTGGACTCGAAAGAGTAAACGCTAAACAATGGGGACAAAGGTGTGGTTGCCCTCAGTTCTTTTTGAACTTTCAATTATACGACCTAGAAGGCTAGAATACTTTTTTCAAATGCTTATTTGAAAGTCAATTACATTTATGGTGTATTTGGAAGTGTACATAATCAGATTTTTTTAATTTCCTCACGTCTCGATTAGGAATTCCCAAACATAACTTTGGATTCTCCGAATATTTACCCTGCAGCTACTGCAAATGCAGTTTCTTCATAGACAAAAACATTCAATTGTCAAACCTAGGGTACATGAAACCCTGAAGCTGTAGGTCCGAGAAATAAAGGGGTGGTTATCTGAATTGACTGAAATCTAGAGTCCTTAACGTGTGTGTGTATATATATATATATAGGTATAGGGATATACACATTAATTTGTGGTGGTACTTTGGAGCATCATCAGGATTGGACAATGGCGAGGTCCTAGTCTGGGAGTTTATATGTTTATCGTTACATGGTAGGTACTTAAATCTACAATTATGTGAGATTAATCAGTTGGTCACTTTCTATATGTTGCCATTGATAAATGGTGGTGGCACTAAAGAACGCCCATATAATACCAAGTAATATGTGACACAAATTCTTTACCTGCTCATCCTCAAATTCAATTCATGTCCCTGCAGCATTCATATCAACATTGGCCTTAAACACGCAAAAACCATAACGTGCTAGATGACACCGGGTACAAGGCAATGATGGTCATTAAACACACAAAAACCAGTGCTACATGACACTGGGTAGAAGGGCAATGATGGTCATTAATGAAAGAATTTTTAAGTATCCAAATCGGATGAAAGCACATTCCTTGAAATTACTGAACACAACCACTTGTTGCTATTACTCTTTAGTTTTCTGAGGTCTATATTGTAGAGGTACTCAAATTAAATCAGTGATCGTTTTTTAAGGTTTTGCCATAAACTTAATTGGTTATTTCCAATTACTTAAATCAATAGTTCAAGCCACAATAAGGGTAAATGGGTAATAATATCATCCAGTTTTTGTAAATTTTTATTTTAAAACCCCCTTTAAATAAAGCCAACAACCTCACATTGGTATGGATTGATATTGTTTGGGAAACAAAATCAGAAGTCAGTTGCCTTGAGAATTTGTAATTTGGTCGCAAAAATAAGATGGTATATATGACACTAGAAATACCAACCAAAGGTATTTGAGGTCGATCTTAGACGGTTGCTAAGATTTCTCTGTCTTTCTGTCATGAATAAATATTGAAGTGTGCATCTAATTGTTTAAAAGAAAGTTGTATGATACTGTCAAAATTTTATATCAAAATTTTACTAATCAATTAAATTTTACATTTTTTTTTTTTTTTACTTCATTTGAATAAATTAAACTACCATCTTGTATAATTTAATTTTATGCTCATTTGAAGTTTGAACTGAATTATTTTTTTTTTACAGTGAGATCATTTTAGTACTGTTAGCTAATTGACCATGCAATTTGTGCATTGTTTTTAGTTTTGTCAAAATATGAAAATTCAAAAAAGAGCATCATGAAGTCGACGTCGTAATTAATGAATTCATTATTCGCAAATAGAGGCTGATGATCTGTTGGGAAGATGGTAATAAATGGCTGGCACAACAATGGTGGTTCGGAGTCCACTGGTCAATAATGAAAGGGTTACGAGTATGGCAGACTAGAAAGGGTTACGAGTATGAAATTTAATTTGTTCTCGGTCTAACGGAAAGCAGTGTGCATTAATGTGTCGGGTCTCCATTTTAGTGGGAAGTAACTACCTTTTTTTTCTAGAATCGTGTGTGTGGACTAACCGTGTGTATGAGAGAAAAAGAAAGAAAGAAACCGAGTCAATTACAAGATTCCACAATATGGTTGATCAAAACAAAAGTTGATGGTTGAAAAATACAGGTATTGAAGAACGTTTTAAGCAGTCTCTCTGTTTTGGCAGTTTATTGTGTGTCATTGTCATCTTGAGTTCCCAAACTTGACATCTCAATTAAGATGAAAAACAAACGAGTCGTTGGCGTGGAAGAAAGATTGGGGTTTGAAGGAGAAGGAAACGGAAAGGAAAGAAAAGTAAATTAAAGTTGTGTTGTGAGATCAAACTTTCCTCACCACCTTTTCCTCTGGGCCAAACAAGTGGATTGCACGTGTCATTGCCTTAACCTAAATAAGGACGGTGCATCAATACAGATGGGCCCGTTAAAAGAGACTCAAAGCTAGCTTCATTAAACGTGTGACTGAAATACTGAATAGGGGACCCAAAAAAAAAAAAAAACACTCTGGTTGAATGTTAATTAATCATCCTCAACATAAAAAAAAAAAAATGGGTGTATTATTGCTAATCACAACAATTCTTTATTTAGTCTCTAATTGGAAAAGTTTATAGGTAACATTTCTCAAATTATGCATCAACAAACTTACCACTATCTACAATCATAAATGAAGACATTATATTATCTTCAATGGTTTTCTATATTTTTTGTTTTTGTGTACAAATATATTTGTCAATAACAACTAAGCACGTGTCATGTCTAAGACTCCACATAATTTTTACAAAAGTATTTAACATAAGGTTGATTCGTTAATAGAATGAGTAACTTTTACAAAAATACTTAACATAAGGTTGATTCGTTAATGGAATGTGAAAGATGAAAAAGAAATAAAATATATTATGAGACTGTGTAAAAGGGTTGTGCAAAATATACAATAATTTTACACATTTGTGAGGTGACAATGTATTTTTAACATAAGATAAAAAAAAAAAAAAAATTACATATTGTGCATATTTTAGACAAAATAATTTTTAACACACTAACAATAAATTATTAAAATTTAAGAAAATTATATTTACTCACAACACTAATGTGGGATCCACCGCTTTGACAATGTGCTACTCACGCAAAGAGTAACTGAGAGGTGAAACAAACACCTCCTCCCTTAATCCTTATTCGCCTTTTGTAATTTGGAATGCATATTAAAACTCAAAATATTTTAAAGGATATTCAAATGTACAAGAAGAAACGAGTCAAATTATCAAATGGATAGTAGCAGCTAGTACAAACTTGCCCTTCCCTTATTCAAGTCTAAATAGAAACATGTGTGTTTGTGAGTTTAAGTGATTCAAGTGCCTTATTCTTGAAAAAAAAATAAAATAAAATAAAATGATAATGAATGACATATTCCGAACCGGGATAGTGTTTGTAGCGTGTAAAAGCACGTTTAATTTGAAAAATAGCGTTCAGCAGTGTTTGGTAAATAAAAAAACACACTTTTAGGAGTTGAGGTTTAATTAAAAAATCTAATATTTTTTTTGTACAATATAACCTTCCTTCATTTTCACACTTGCAAGGTTATTCGTGATAAGAAAATATATACATCTATATAAATAAATAAAATAAACTATCAGGATAACGTACAAGTAAATAAAAGTGTTTAGTTGGTACTCTATCATCGTATAATACCTATACCTATCTTTTATATATATATATATATAAAATAAGAATTGCAATAGTGTGAGGACTACTATTGCTAGCCTGATTTCATATCCGATGTCCTTTGAATATTTATAGCCCAATTTTCTATTTTTTACATTTATAACGCAATTTTACATTTAGCTTATAAGATTTTAAATTATAAATATTTTGTAAATTACATTTATCTAAAAAATTCTAACTTGGATTTTTCAAAAACATTCTTAGTATCTGAAGATTTTGTATTTATTTATTTGTTAAGATTCCTCTATAAAAGTGTATAAGAGTATTTTTCGAGATATTGATTTAAGAGAATGAAATTGCATTTGGCTAATGCGCACTTTTATTATTGTATGGGTAATACCGTAAAATTAGTAATAAAAGTGATTTAAGCAATGCGCCAAACAAATTTTACACTACTTTAAGTATAAAAAGTACTAAATATTATGCATCACCAACATCTAACATTTTTTTTACTGACAGTATTTTTTATGACAGCTCTACTAATAAAAGAACTTGTATCATTATAACAGCAACGCCAAACGGCGTCTCCGCATACCATTTTGTATGGGTAATAGATGTGTTAAATGTATTATCCATATTCTCCGGTTTTTTAGTGGGCTCGTTCCCCTCTCAACCAAACTTTTAGGCCTTTGTTTTGCGACGCATTTGGTTTGTCTTATTCAAAGATTGGGCTGTATATAGTGGGTTGGGCCTTGGTCGAAAGGTGTGTACAATTCAAAAATAAACTACGCCAGAACCCAAACTTAGCCTTTGTTTTACAAAGATTTTTTTTTTTTTTTTTTTTTTTTTTTTGTCTTATTCGAGAATTGGACTTTACGCAGATTTTTCCTATGGCAAACCAGCCCAACTTTATTCACAAATATCTATTTTTTCTGATGTAGTGCTTTGTATAATCCATTACCATGCTCCATTGTGACATTTTTTAATTTTTAATTTTTAATTTTGGTTTAAATATTGAAAGCAAATAATAATAATAGAGCAGCTGTACCATATCTGAAATCTTTTGTAATTCACTGTGACCCGATTTTTAATCTATTTGTCTACCTAAAAAAAAATACATGAAACCCATATGGCACCATAAGAAGCCGTTCCTTTGTTTTATAGAGACACCCAAACACAACCTTATTATATTAATAGAGATACCAAAGTTCATTCAGCCCAAATTGGCAATGGAATCTAAACTTTGGAAGATGGAATGGGATTCACTATTTTCACATAGACTCTCAAGATTATTGAAAGTTGGTGGGCCTTTATTAGAATACGCAACATTAACATTATCTTCCACTATGATATATATATATATATATATATATATATATATATATATATATATAAATGGTCTCTTGATCTCCTAAAATATCTCAATTATTGAAGGTAGTTACTCTTGCAATTGTGGAAATTAGGATAGGTGCTCGATGGATATGATTTAATGTGACATATAGTCTCATAATTGACAGGATATCACTTGAATCATTTTATTGATCCCATCATAACACTATATTAGATATTCTCGATCAAAAGCGTGCACCTTTTTCTGATTGGACTATACATAGGTCGATGATCTTCTTGTGTCATTATGTGTGCTTGTTTTTCAACGAATAATCTTAGTTCCAAAATCCAATTCACCGACCTAATCGTTCAAAACCTTGAAATTGTGACATATTTAATCAAGAAACACATTTACAATAAATTTAAGTTCTGAAATTAAAATGAAATTAGTTCAAAACTTTAAAATAAAATTTCTCTATTTTTATTTTCATGGTGCTAATCTTATGCTTCTTTTTCTAAAAGAAAAAGAAGAAAAAAAAGCGCACGAAAAAATTGAAAAATAGCAAATCTATGAAGAGGTGATGGGGTGAGAGTGGGTATGAAGCGGGACACCACAAAAAGAGCAAGTATTGTTTGTTGGGATAGAGAAAATGAGTGTTGGTGGAATCAGTGCCTTGGATTAGACCTAAGAACAGTGTTTAGTCAAAAACAAAAGGACAGGCCCGCCTGAATTATGGGCTGGACCTTTCAGGTGGTACAGACCAACTTCTCTCCTCTGTCATGACCAATAGTCAACATTGGCAGACACACTACCACTGTCTGATACATAACCATCACCCCTATATAATACAAGCAAGAGGAGACCCCATTAAGAATCTAACAGAGATAGGGCTTGGGCCCCTCTTCTGCACTAAAGGTCAAGTGGATCCCTGCCCACACTTCCTTTGTGTCTTAACCCCATGTGACTTGTGCTCATACATATATATATATACATATATATACATATACCAATGCTAAGTGTGAACATATATGTTTAAGTTTGATTGGCACTTTATATAGTACTGTATATGATTTGTTATAAGTTACGACATGAGAACATGGCAATGTGGTGGAAAGCTGTTTTGAGTTAACCTTTGTGAAATTTTTATTGTTATTTGATCTGATTTGCATGATTAATATATTATAAGCTCATCTGATTAGACATTATTCCCTAGAGAAGTTATGAATTTTCTGAATTATTATTTTTCAATTTCAAAGACGACTTCAGTGAATCACGTAGCCAAACATAAGTTTATATGATTTTGTAACATTAATTGATACCAACATTTGAGGTGCACCATCAATTCACACTGATATTGGACTCTCTCTCAAAGTCTCGCAACATATTACTACTCTTCTTCACCACCTGCAATGACAATGACAATGAGAGCCAGTTTCATCATAGATTTGATTTTTTTTTCTTTTTTTCTTTTTAAGGCTATCCATTTTGAATCGAGACAACTCTAACATGTGCATGCAATCTTCTACAAATCAGTGGATTGGATAAGTCTAAAGAGCGAACACCTTCGGAATATAAAACAATGGAAGAGAAAATAATCACACAAAAAGCAAAATTATGTGGGATTGTTGGAGCACAATGATGGAAGGAAGCTATAAACAAAAATCAGTTGAAAAATGCTTTAAAAGTGCTCATCCATAATTGTAAAGATTAATGATTGAATCTAAATTATGTGATCCGCATGCAGCTACTTTTACATAATTCATTGCCTGCCACCGGAATAAAGGCGACAGATATGATCACTGTATTGCAATGAATTATGCAAACTTTAATTGGAATATGACTCATCTGATCTCAAACACTTACAATTATTAGGGCTTATTATAGTCTGTTAAAACATACATTATATGCATATACTGTATGCATTTCACTGTGTGTGTGTGTGTGTTTCTGTGGGAAGCAAGAGCTCAAGCTAAATCACTTTTGCCACATTCAGCCATGACAGTACCTAACATAGACAGCAATTGCAGGCACATATAATGGCAAGGAAGACCAATATATTTGATGCTTCTCAGGCCAAGTGTCTTCAGTGGGCCCTAACTTCGTCCTCTCCATGCCATTTTTCCAGGACTCCCCATCCCACTGTTCTTGCAGTTCTTTGCCATCCCTCCCTCAGCTTTTATTTTTGCTTTTTCCCTACACTATCAAAACACCATCAATGAATTGTTAAAGAGGTCAAGGGACCAACCCTCTGCTTGGAGCCTTCTTAGCTTTCTCTTTTCTGACAGATGAAGTACACATGCATGGGTAGAGCTTTCTCTTGGTGAAGGCAATAATTAATTTCACATAGCAGAAGCTGTCCTCGCTTTACCATTGCTTAAACGTGGGTAGGAAACTGTTCTAAAACAGTAAACTTTATAAAAGATGTAGAAAAGGGAGACCATATCCACTGTACATCAATATTGTACACCTTAGGGTTCTTATAATGTGCACTACTTGGTGGGAGTGGGACATAATCTCCATCCTCAAAACACATGCTTAAGCTTTTCATTTTTAATAATTAATGCTATTAACAATTATTCAAACCAATTGGGCCAAATGAATGTGTCTCCAATATTTTTAAACACAAACCCTTTAGCCTTTTGTTGGTGCTTAACTGTCCAATAGCTCCTGTAGGCCGGCCTCACCACAAAAAAAAATAATTAAAAAAAAATACCCATATCTAGGACACTGAAGATCACGTAGTAAGAGAAGTAGGAGCGAGAGAAGTTCCCCAACTGGCCAAGAGTTGGAGAAATGGCTTTCTAGGGTTTGCTTTTTAATAATTATAACTTTAACTTTCAAAAAGGTAAAGACAAAAGCTAACCAACCAAAGCAATAGATCAACAGAGGGTCATGCACCCATGCACCATAGATATTTATAAATACGTATGCATATCCATTGGGAATGGAGGAGTAGTAGTTCTTACATGACAGTCTTCACATCCTATCTACAACTATCATCATTCGAAAAGGAAATGAAAGCAACATTTAATGGGACCCAAACATATATAAATTAGTAATTACCACCCAAAACAGGCCATGTTCGACCAACACTTCTTTTGTCCTCTTCAAATGTGATGGTGCTGCAATTGCAAAAGTCTAGAGTAAGCCCCATCAGGTCGGCTGACTAGCTCAGAGTGGCTGCCTTGTTCTACAATGCGCCCATCTTGAACCACTCCAATACTATCCACGCCCCGTATGGTTGATAAACGGTGAGCCACAAGCACGGTGGTTCGACCCCTCATTAGCCTCTCGAGGGCTTCCTGTAGTACACACTCCGACTCTGCATCCAGTGCACTTGTTGCCTCGTCCAGGAGAAGTATTGTTGGATCCTTAAGAACAGCCCGTGCAATTGCAATTCTTTGTTTTTGTCCTCCAGAGAGTTGAACCCCTCTCTCACCAACCGGTGTTTTGTACCCATCAGACAGGCCACTAATAAATGCGTGCACATTTGCTGCACGAGCTGCTTCAATGACTTCTGTTTCTGTTGCTCCTTCTTTCCCATAGACAATGTTATCGAAAATGCTTGAGGCAAAGAGTGCTGGCTCTTGTTGGACCAATCCAATTTTAAGCCTGAGAGACTTCAAGTTCAATTTTCGGATGTCTTTTCCATCAATCATAACTTTTCCAGCTGTAGGATCATAGAATCGTTCAATCAATGCAATTACAGAACTCTTCCCGGAACCACTGGCTCCAACAAGAGCTTGGCTCTGGCCAGAACGTATTCTGAGGTTGAAGTCATTGAACACATTGACATCAGGTCGTGACGGGTAGGCAAAGTCAACGTGACGAAGTTCAATATCTCCACGAATTGATTCAACAGGCTCAGCCTCGGAGTCATCAGGGTCAATCTTTGTGGAACGGTCTAGAATTGAAAATACAGAACCAACAGCTTCACCACCCCTAATTATCTCAGGAGCAAGGCTAACAGTTTCCGCAACTGAATTGGCTGTGATGACTAATACCACAAAAACTTTAATGACCTTTGAGAATGTGGAGACTCCTTTGCTTACAAGGTGGGCGCCATACCAAAGGATGAGTGCTTCCGAGGTGTATAATGCCAGCTGAGAGAGGCCAAATAGGACGCCAGCAGATTGGCTGCGGCGAAGACTTTGGAGCTGTGGCACACGGAGCTCATGCCAGAATAGAGAGAGGATCTTCTCTTGTGCATTGAATGCTGCAACAGTTCGAATGTTGCTCACTCCCTCCCCCGCAATCATGCTAGACTTTGCATGTGCCTTGGCTGTATCTCCAGCAAATCCTTTAAGAGAGAGTTGCTTTATAAGGAAGAAAAATAAGGGAATTAATTGTCAGAAAACGGTTTAGATAGTATACAAGAAACACATAACTCATTGTAATTTAAATGAAAAGGACTGGCTGAAGTCTGTCATACAATCAGAAAATTAGATAACTTGCATAGGAGGATTGATACCGTTAAAAGTAGCTCTTTAGTAAATGTTACTTAAAAGGTGGTAATTTTTCATGCGCCTCATTTACTAGGCTAAATGGGATAGTTGGTATTACCTTTTTAATAAAGATTTTACTTAATGTTATTGACCAGGTATTGATGAGACTATATATTCATTTTTACCAATCAGTTTAATCATATCAGCAAGATTGAATTTGAATAGAAAAATTCACGCTCGTAATGGTGAACTTCATCGTTACAAATGAGAAAATTCGGAGAATAGAATGATAGTCATTTTTATAAGCGATCACGGGACCTGAAGTATTTTTGATCCATGATATTTAATTATTTATATACTGCAGGTACTTCTCAAGTTATTTAACGGTGTGCAAAATTCGAACACTGCTGAATCACAAGAAGCACGCTATCAGTATGCCACAGTATCCAAGAGGCCAGAATTTGAAAACTCTCTAAATTGAGCCTAAAAGAGCTAAAACGACAGCATTTGCAAACAGGGTGCATCACTGCGCACCGGGTAAATCGTAAAAGGCCTGTCCCTAGGCCCTGTAATGCCACCATCACTGGCATGTCCTGACAACCCTCCATGAAAAAATACAACTGCTAGCAAAAAGAAGTGCAGAAGAAGATAATATATTGCCAAACATATACATATATAAATATATATGCACAGACATCATATTAAAATGATCACGGGACCTAGAATTCCTCAAAACCTTCACATGGACCATCTGTAAAGACAGTAAACACAGCAATCAAAGCTGGTGGTACTACTATATTTACTTGCTCTGTTGTTCTCTCTCTCTAACCTTTGACTTAGGTCTCTAAAAAAACCAATATATAATTGACGAAATTTCGAGGTAGGTTCTCAGTGACAGAAATTTATGGGTAATGAACGAATCTTTGCTGTTCTTTTCTTCACAATACATATATAATATGATATTGCATAGTACATATTATATGAGAGTTTCGAAGTGTTGATGCACCAGAATTGGAGGAAGCACGTGAAATGCACCAGTCTGATGCCACGTTGTATTTACCCTTTGTCGTATGATATTATGGGAAGTAGCAAAGTAAGATTCCAGAGATAAACAAGATAAGAAAGTCTGACATGGTAATAAAATTAAAATTATAACTATGATTTTCCCAAAATGCCATCATAGTACTAATGGACCAACCCCATCCAAGAGAATGCTAGCAATTTGAGAAGCAACATGGTTTTGAGGTAAAGTGTGTCATTAGATAAATTTTGTGCTTACCTGGGCAAAATTTGCAAGGACAAGAAGAGGGAAGGTTGCTAGGATGAGAAGAGAGACCCTCCATTCAACTATGAAAGCAACTATGAATGAAGTGAGGAGAGATGTCATGTTCTGCAATATAACGGAAATCCTCTCAGCAATGGCGGATTTCACGTCAGAAGCGTCTGTGGCTAGGCGAGCTGCAACAAGGCTCGAGTTGTGCTCCTCTTCGTCGAACCAACCAACTTCATTCCTTAGGATTGCTGGAGAAAGAAAAACATACCATGAACACCCATTTAATGAATTGATGATTGAATTTTCCTTCGACAAATTTTCAACTACATCCATTTCATGCTTGGTGTAATGTAAAAGCTTGCGCTATCAAATCGATAATATAAGTTTAAAGCTAAAAGCAATCACTTTATGCATATAACCAAAGGTCACCTATGCATATATACCTGCAAGCATCATCCTCCTCACTCTTGTAGTGAGGTTCTCTCCCATAATACTGAAGAAGTAATGCTGTATCAAATATGCAACCACAGCATAAAGACCAGCTCCAATGTATATGAAAACATATTCCTTTGTCTTCCTCTCCATGCTTGCAGGATTTCTGTAGTAAAATACCTCAATCATATTGCTCATCACAATGGCAAAGGTAGGACCAATAAAACCAGAGAGAACAGATCCCACAGCACCCATTATGGAATAGGGCCACTCAGGAGCATTAAGCTTGAGAAGTCGGAAGAAGTACCCTCTTGGTGCTGGATTTTTTCTCTCTGTTTCAGCATTAGAGACCATCTCTATCCTACCATCTGCACCAGTGCTGTACTGATAGCTCAAGTTCCTTAAGCTGCCGGAGCGAAGGCTTAGAGATTTTGTTGACAATGAATGGCTTAGTCGTGATGAGCGTGAACGGCGGGTTGAAGAGTTTGAAAAGTCTCTGTTTCTTACCATTTCTTGGAATCGAATTAATGAAGCATACGCCCCAGCTTTGGAAATTAATTCTTCATGTGTTCCTGTCTCCACAACTAGCCCTTGCTGTATAACTGCAATTGTATCAACATTTCTTATGGTGGAGAGGCGATGGGCAACAACTACAGTTGTCCTCCCAACCATGAGACGGTCCAAAGCTTCTTGAACAATGCTCTCAGAACTTGCATCAAGGGCGCTAGTTGCTTCATCGAGGAGGAGGATCTTTGGGTTTTTCAACATAGCTCTTGCAATTGCAATTCTCTGTTTCTGACCACCAGAGAGTTGCACTCCTCGCTCTCCCACCTGGTTTTAAATGACTATAAAAGTTCAACGCCATACCAATTTAAGGAAAAGTATATTTGATGTGACGCATTGCGATTCAATTTGTGGCCAAAACGAGAAAATTATATATCTCAACTCATATAGAACAAAAACAAAACCACTAAAATATAAAAGCAGCCCTTTTAAGAAATTCAATAATGCAGCTTCATGCTCTACCATTATCAAGAGACCTGGCTGATGTATACCAACCTGCGTGTTATATCCATTAGGAAGCAAGGTAATGAAACTATGAGCATTAGCAGCTGAAGCAGCAGCTTCTATTTCAGCCATTGTTGCATCAGGCTTTCCATAGAATATGTTCTCAAGTATGGTGGTGGCAAAGAGAGCGGGTTCTTGGTTCACAAGACCAATCTGATCACGCAACCATTTAAGTTGTAGTGTCTTTATATCCACACTGTCGAGCAAAATTTGCCCTGCGTTGAGAATACAAAAAATTAGAAAAATTATATATTCAAATCGTTACCAATTTCTTAACATGACTAAATTCTAGTTATTACCTTGAGTAGGATCATAGAACCTTTCTATCAGGGAGACAACAGTGCTTTTCCCTGATCCACTCCCACCAACAACTGCAACTGTCTTTCCAGCGGGAAAGAAAATTGAGAAATCCCTAAATATAATAACATCAGGCCGTGATGGGTAACTGAAGGTCACATCTTTGAATTCTATGTTTCCTTTAACCTCAGCCAAACACTTCCCATCTGAGGGGTCTTGAATTATGGAGGGCTTTTGCTTGATAATCTCCATTAACTTGTACCCAGCTGCTTTGCCTTTGCTAAATGCCCCAAGATTTGAAAATGACTGACCCAAACTCCTGTATTTTAATAGAATAATGAATAGCCGAATAGCGGGCATATATCTACATTGGAAGGAGTAAACATTTCAGTTTCAGATCTTACATGCCCCCAACAATGGCAGAGAAGATAGCCGTGAATGCCTTCCCTCCATCCGTCTGTCCATTCCTGATAAAAACACCAGCATACCAGAAGACAAGGGCCCATGACATGCATGCTATTCCATATGTACATCCTAGTCCCAGGCCTTTAGCCATCCCAGCCTTATATCCGAGCTTCAATGTATTTTGTATGGCATCCGAATATGCGTTGAGGGCCTTGCTCTCACCAACATACGAGTAAACCGTCCTAACTTGTGCAATGGCCTATGCCATTAGAAGTTTTAGAAGGCCAGCCAAAAATAAATCCAAATTAAAATAGAATGCTAATACAAACACTAAACAAAGTATTTAACAAAAGAAATTTTAAAGCCATGCCATGAAAACTGGAAACCCATTGAAATCAAGATCATCTCAAAAGTTGGGATTTTGTCAACAACTCCATTCATGGTTGAAGCAGATAAATTATGAAAAGTCATAATGCTTGTAAAATTTTGGAAGGGGAAGTTAGAAAAGGTAAAAGTAAAATTAAACAAAAGGGAAAGGACCTTTATGATTTTTGCACATGTTAGAGCATCATTTGATCCACAAAGGATCACAAGCAAATATTGCCTATAGGCTAAACTAAAAAAGAACAGCAAAGTAAGCGCACCTGCTCTGCAATTATGCCTGCATTTGCATAGGATTCACGACTCTTGGATGTGAGACCGGTGAGAGTATATGCATACAAGCCCCCAGCAAAAGCAATTCCAGGAATCACTGCCACACTGAGTAGAGCTAATCTCCATGCTGATACAAAACCAACCACCAATCCCGCCAGAAACGTCGAGAGGTAGTGGATGAAGTTCCCAACCTAAAATTCCCCCATCAAAAGATTAAATTAAATCATGTTTCCATCACTTTTGCTATTGCAATTAAAATTCAACCACTCCCCAGAATCCTTGAGAAGTACACACTGCGTGCTGAATGTGTGTATTACATATGAATGTAAAGGGTTTTCTTATTCAGAAACTTCACAGTCACAGAGGTGAGGGCATTGATTAAACTCAGAATTTGCTAACAATGGGTTGCCCGGACCAGCTTTAATGGAAAATCAACCACCGCTATAAGCATTTTTCTGGTTTAGCGTTCACCGTTATCCTTGAGAAAGTACATAAAAATAGAGAGAGAGAGAGAAAGAAAGAGACCTTCTCACTGATGGCATCTTGGACTAGTAGAGTGTCCGTTGAGACACTGAAGACAATATCCCCAGTTCTAGCATCTGTATCAAAGAACCCAACGTCCTGTTTCAACACTGCCTGCAAATACTTCTTCCTCAGTGCACTCACTTGCCTCTCTCCCGTGTACATCCAACACGCAATTTCTGTTCAAATCAAACAATTTTCCCACAAAATTTCAGAAATTACTTCTGTAAAAAATGAAAATCGTAACTTTAGTGAAAGTTAAACAAAACCATCACTATAATTCCGTGTATCAACAACAGTGACAGAGATGCGTTTAATTAGATAATGTTAAGTATTAAACAGTCAAGAAATTGACTAGTGAAGAGGAAAAAGACACAGAAATCAGTCCACAGACCACGTGCAATCCAACGCTTACCGATCTGGCTAAGTAATCAGTTGAATTAGTTAAGCTCAAACATTTGAAGCTCAAAAAATATAAAATACTACAACAGATCAAGCTCACCTGCATAGGAGGACATACACACAAGCAATCCAAGATACACGAAATATAGAGCATACTGCATTCAATAAAAAAGCAAAAGAATCAGATCTGCCTTGTGAAATGAAGGTAAAAATCACAGAAAAATATATCAAATTATAATGTAAAAACTGAAATGGGAGGAATTGATTTTGCGCGGAACCTTGGACACTTCTTCAGTCATCTTCTTCAAATCGGATTGATTTTTGCCGAAACCATTCACCATTTCGCCGAACAAGAGGAAGAAAACCGGCATGGAAGAGCCGTGAACAATAGCTCCCAAGCTTCCGGAGATCATGAGAAGCCAATCGTACTTGTCAGCGAATGAGAACAGTTGATGAAAAGGAAGACTCTGCTCCTTCTTCTTCTCCGCCTCCGGCATTATTTTCGTCTCCGTGGTGGTCGTCTCGGCCATTGGAACAAAACTTTAAGGCCGATCAAACAAAGAGCTACAGAGAACGAACAAAAGCTCTGTAGTATTTATTTTGAATGTCTTATTGATTTTTCACCTTAAAGAAAGTTTAAGAGCTTGAATACAATACACATGACGCCATTAATGCAGAGAAAGATAAAGTGCAGAGAGATCTGAGAGAGTTCTATTTTTGCTTCGTTCTTTACTGCCTCGTTCTTTACTGCCTCAAAGAACTGACAGTGTCGGTTGAGTTTTACCAGACCTAGAAGAGAAAGTGAATGAGTCGTTCAGAACTTCGTTGCCGGAAAGAGTCAGAGAGACAGTGTGTGTGTGTTTTTAGAGAGAGAAAGTGAGCAGTGTGGAGGAGGACCTGTGGTCAAACGTGGAGTGAGAAAATGAGTCCTTCTCAGCAAAGAGAATGGCGTGAGTGAGGAGGACTCTTTGCTGAGAAGGACTCTTATAGTTAGGAAATTAACCTGAGTTGGTAAAATGGTTAAAATAGATTCTGTTTTAACAGAGTTGAGTCGTGTCACTTGTAGAAGTTTGTGCCGCAAATTTATTTTATTTTAGGGCAATACTGGGTCATCGAGGATAAAGTTCATCTCTTAATTAACGTGACTCAATATGATTTAGATATATGTCTAAAATTTACTATTTTTTTTTTTTTTTTCTCAAAAGAATAAGATTGTTTTTATACCCAAATTGAAAATTTACTAAATTTATTTAAAGAATGTGTTGTATCAAGTTTTTAATAGAGAAAAAATAGAAACTTAAATATTATATGAAAATTTGATATTAAATTATATTTGAATACAGTTTTTCTTGTATATTTTTTATTTATTAGTTTTTCTCGTAAATCCATTTTTTTTAGAGTCTGATCTATCTTTGCATCCCTCCCAATTTTCCAACACCTTCAATTGATAGGGCTAAGGGTTGTTTTTTTTTTCCCTTACTCTAATTGGTGAAAAATAAGTTAAGTGTTTGATTGATGTAAATAGGCTAAGATTTTATATTGAAGTTGGATATGGAGATTTGTGAGGGAGGGAAGAGAGGGGGAAGGGGGAGAAGAGGGTCCCTCTAAAAAAGGGATTCTAAAAATTTTTAATTAGAAAAAAAAAAAAAAAAAAATTGGAATAGGATTTAACAAGTAAGAAGTTGGATAATAACTATTATTAAAAAAAAAATTAATTTGGACATATGCCTAAATTGTATTGGCCCACATCAGTTATGTAAGAAAATGGGTAATGATTATTTTTTAAAAAAAATTAAAATTTTAGACATGTATTCAAATTGTATTAAATCACATGAGCTGAGAGGATGAACTTCGTCCTCTTAGAGGAGGACCTAAGTATTATCTAATAAATAATGAAACAAAAACGAAAATGAGTGAATGACTAATACTCCCACTAGTTAGGGATCAGTAAAATGAAATTTTAGACTCTAGTAAAAAAATTCCGTGATTATTGACCCCCTCTGTACCATCCTATGCTGTGACATGCTTAACATATTTAAATCGGTATTTAATACACTGTTTTAATTTATTTTATTCTATTGTAACAAAAAATCAACTCATTCGATAATTACTTAATAATTTGTAAATTTATATATATGCACAGAAAATTTGAACTCTGCTAGTTTTACCGTTTTGATTTTGCACCCAATCACATCATGAAACGAAAGTCTAGTATTTGATCAAATAAAAGCTGAAATCAATGCCTAATTATGACCTATTAACACAATAATTATAAGCTTTAGGCAGATGACTTCACGCATGCCTTGGTGAGCTTTGAGTTTGAATTGAGGTTTTTTAAAATAAAAAAAAAATCTGGTAAGGAACCAAAAAAAAAGGAACATAAAAAAAGGAACATGGCAGTTTTGAAATTTAGAGTTCGTTTACCAAGTGCATTATGGTCCAGTGATGTCTTATATAACTTTTAAAATGAATGGTGAGAGTTTAAGTCTCTAAATGAGTAAAGTGGGTATGTGAATTATATTTGTAAGTTTGTTGCTAATGACAATATATATATATATATATATATATATATATATATATAAAATAAAATTTAGAGTTAGTTTTAGATTGTTTTTCAATTACTTAAAAGCAATTTTATTTTTAAAAATTGTGTTTAGATGTATTTGGTAATTATTAAAAATATTTTAAGTGGTTATCAATTTTAGGTCAGTAGAACTTTTGAATGAAGGTAGAATTTGAAACTTTTTAAAAGTAGAGATTGCATATTTTAGATAATTATTTTTTCTTACAAAATTATTTTATTTTTTTATAAAAACAAAACAAAAGTGCAAAAAAAACTCACCATAGTATAAAAGTGAGCAAGTTAGTCAGTAGTTTCAAAATTGAGGTATTCCTTTGTTTCTTTTTTTTTTTTTTTACAAAATTGTTCATTTTTTAAATTATAGGGATTGACTTTCTCCCTTTTATACCACAGGGGTAGTCCTCACTTGGAGAAAATTGAATAGTTTTTTTTACACTTTTGCCTAAAGAGAATCTCAACCCTTCTTTTTACAAATGTATTATTATCAAATAAGATAACATTATATTAAAAAATATTATGCCAAAATTAGCAATACAAGTGTACTGCCATCTTGGCTTTAGGCCTTTGTGCCTTTGAATGACGATAAAAAATAAATAAATACAAGTGTTTTAAAAAATATTGTTATTAAACAAATTTAAAAATAATTTTATTATAAAAGTACTATTTTAATATGTTACCAAATATTTAACATGTTTTTTACCAATTATAACTTTTAGACCGTTCTAATAACAAAAACGCTTCTTTAATTCTAACGGCATCCCCAAACTAACTCTTAAAATACTTTACTTAATAACTTGGAGAACGTGAGTCTCTAGTGAGACAAATAAGTGCACTTGATAGAAAGAGAAAAAAAAAAAATGGGTAAGACCTAATGAAATTAGATATCAATTAAAATCATGAAAAAAATAATAATAATAATAATTTGTATGATACAAAGACACTTGTAAAATACTAAAATGCATGTAGATAACACAAAACTATTGGGAGAGGAAGATAATATACAATTGAGTTATAAATATTTGTGATTTTTAAAATATTCAGGGTCTCATTCAGATTACAACCTATTTCATATAAAAGAAAAAGAAAAACGAGGCATGGCTTAAATAAAGCTATTAAGGTCTCCATTTTAATTATTATCCTTGATAGTAAGTCTTACGTCTCATCATTTATCTTTTTATATGACATCATTGACATGTAATGCGGCAAAATCAATCATAATTTGAGATAATATTTCATGGAGTATTATTCTGGTTCTGAATTTAAATAAATAAAGCAAACAAACAAACTTCATAAACTAAGAGATGATTGAAATAAACCAATCAGAGGTTGTCTTGTGATTTTTGACTGCTACCATCTCTAAATTCCTTTATTTTTTATTTTTCACTTTTTTCCATTTTTATTTGATGGTGTGATACGCCATGATAAATGACATCACACAAATGAAAACAAGTCCTCTGTAATAACGTTGTATTTTTTTCACTGCTGTTAAGAAAATTTGAATAGTGAAAATAAAAGATAATAATACAAAAATTAAAAAAATATAAAATCTTAAGTGGAGCACTTCTCTTTATGAATGATTATGTGAAATATTCTTCAAAAATATCCTTTACTATAAATGTCTATTGTTTTTGCAAAACATAGGCCATCAAATCAAAGTCATTTCCATTACATATATATTCTTATGAATTGGGAACTCTTCAATTATAAAATTGAGTATTGGACCCAGAAAAGAAATGAAGTTGACAACTAGATTGGAAGCTTATAAAGTGGGATTTATGCCTGTAAAAGTAAAGAGAGTTAATTGAAGCCATTAAAAAAGGTTTTTAAAGAGTATGCAGAAAGGACACTTTTTAATTAAAGTTTCAATGGCCTGAAATTATTCATTATAATCCTCATACTCAGTGATAAGATAGCAGGTCTATCATGAATAGTTTACGAGTACGTTTCTTTAATTTTTTTGATAAATATTTGATAAATAAAAAATGAACTTTTAACAAAATTACAAGAGCAAAGGGAAAATATGTAAAATGAGAATTCACTAAAACTGAAAAATACATTCATCAATTGGGATCTTTTAATACACAAGTGATTCACACATTTATGTACTTAGAGTGTTCTTAAATTACATTTCTAACCTCCCTCTCCATAAACCTCAGAAACTAATATTATTCCAAAGGGGATATAATCCTCCACCCTTTCACAAACACGTACACATGATCAGGTAAAACTGTGTTGGAGAGTTGTTTTACATGATCAAATAATGCATATGTACGTCTACTTTCTTTTTTAGTAAACATATCTTAATGGTTTTTCTATGGAAGGAGTTTATGTACACTGAGGGTCATTTGGTATGTGACTTGTTTTAGACGTTATTAAAATAATCATTTTGTTACAGGAATATTTTCAGTAGAAATTGAAACCATATTTGATAACAAAAAATTGTTTTGAAAATTTCAAAAATTTGCTTTAATTCTTCCATAGAATATCAAAACACAAAATATCACCAATTTGGTGATATGGATTTGAGTCAAAAAAATATGATATGTTATAAATTATTCCAAACGAATATCAATTGTCCCAAACATGATATGAGACCAATTTTAAATACTAATATAAAAATAATAACATCATAACTAATGTCAAATGGACTTTAAGTACACATGTCCAGGGACACCAACAAAATTTCATGAAATCTATAAATTCCGTTTTAAAATGTGATCTCCAGATTTCCCTAATTAATTTGGACTTGGAGAAGCTACAAAATCAACCAAATTTCATCTCCCATCACCTCGTTTTTATTTTTATTTTTTTAGAAAATTTAAATAAATAATAATAATCACCCAAAGGGTACAGGCCCCATCCAATACTTGGGATGGTTGCACTTTGGGCTGGGCTAGCAAGAGGCCCATATGCTCACTTAAAATGGCATGAGTTAAGTGAGTTCGGACCAAAATCAAGCATTTGTGTTTGCTGGCTGCAGACCCAAAGTAAAGTGAGAATAGTGCAAATTTAAGTCACATAAAGCATGAGGGGAAGTGCAAAGGGCTAAGTCACACGTAATAGGTACAAGAAAGTAGGAGGGTATATAGGCTTAAAACCTACAACCATTAAAAAAAAATTGTGTTATTTATAACTAACTCTTACTAGTAACTTTGGGTGTTTGGATAGTATTAGTTATGAGAGAAAATAAAAGAAAAGAAATGACAGTATTAGTGAGAAAAGAAAAGAAAAGAAAAGAAAGGATAATAATAATTTTTATTTGTGTTTGGATGGATAGGGGAGAAAAGAAAAGAAAGGATAGTTATTCTTGTTTGGATAAGATAGAGGAGAGAAAAAAAAAAAAAAGGATAATAGACAAAT